AGTTGCAGTCTGGTAATATTGAAGTTGCTCTTGACTATCTATCTGGAGCTGTGCAATTGTTTGCTCAAGTCTTTGGGCCACAACATGTCAACATAGCTAACTGTTATAAGTGAGTGGTGTCATTTAAGTACTTATATATTCCATTGTATTATTATATATAGAGTTATTGCATGAATTCATCATGCTCTAGGTGACAGTAAACTAGTAAGTGGTGCATGTAACTACATGTATGTGCATGCCATGTACATGTTAATGTATCGACTGGTTGTACATGTAGTTTAGTTTAAATGACTGATACCGAGTTAAAATGTTATGCATGTTCTAAAGTTTACTCACTTTCACCTGATCCCTGGTTGTTATCAATTAATAATAAAAGCTGAATTTGATTTGGCTGTTCTAGCTGCGTCATTTTGGTCAAGGTATGTCATTGAGTTTATAGAGGGACATCCAAAATAGGCTAAGGCCTTGTCATTTTGATCTGTTCTTTTCTAAGGACTGGAAGGACCTAGCAATTCTAATGGCACAAACAAAATTTCTAAATTCCTGGATTATCAAAAGTTATTATAAACAAGCGTAACAGTGTAAAAGTATTACTATAATTGATTTCACCACCTTGCATGTACAGCTGGGTTCTTATTAAAACTTAAAGAGGTTTTCTCTACCTTCTAATCCTTCAAGAAAGGTCTTGAGACTGTACATATGTTCTTTTGCATAAAAACTTATAACTTTGTCCTATGTGTAAGCCACCATTTTGTTTGCTCTGACTACTTAAAGGAGCGTGGGAGGGTGTTTGCTAAGGCTTATGAATTTTCTTATTTCTCCAATACAACATGTATAAAAGAAATGTATGTGTGGACATACAAATATGCAAGCATCACATGTGGGTGAAATCAATTATACATGTAGGTACGACAAGGGGACTACACCCCCAGGTCGTTAAAAATCACTAAGTCAAATGAAACTCAACAGACTTTAGTTCAAAACGCTTTAAAACTTTATTAATATTTTAATTTCTTTACAAGGTAGCAATTAATTATTTACTCAATTGAAATTTAATTTTAAATTGACTTGCTACATTTAATCTCTCTCTTTTTTCATCTTCAGGCAATATCATTTCAGCACAAAACTGTCATTATGTATGAGAGACTGCTAGGAGTGGACCACTGCAGCTCTATATCAGCCTATGTTAGTTATTAATAACGGGCCACACACACAATATTTATTATAAATTTATCACACTATTAGTTCCCCACAAAGCATGCTAAGTGAGCTAAAAGGCATGCTTTATGAGCTGACAAGCCTTTGAAATTCATAAAAAATCCAAATTTGATTAGAATGAGCTCAAACTTTGGAACATCATTAGGACATGTATATGTATCAGAAACATGTCTCTTGAGCAATTTTTGGCAAAATTTAGTCATAAACCAAATTCTTTGGTATTGGCCCCTTTTTTAGCAAAATTTAAAAATTAATGAAAATCTGATTTTGATCAGAATGAGCTTTAACTTTCTGTACAACATATGGACATGTTATGAGAAAATTATAAACACAGAATTTTCTCCTATGTTGTTTTTGGCAAATTCTGGCCAAATACCATGTACCATGTCTTTGATCCAATTTTAAAGCAAGTTTTAAAATTTATAAAAATCCAAATTTTGACTAGAGTCTGCTTAAAATTTTTTCACAGTATTAGAACTTCTACATGTATCACAAAGTTTAATAAAAGTTTTACCTTTGCAATGTTTGATTAAATTTTGGGAAAATACATTCTGAAATATTTTATCAACATTTGGAACAACTTTAAAAATTCACTGAGAGCATTATGTCAAAATTCTGCAGGAAACCATGATCATGATAATTTCAACGACTAAGCCCACCACTGATTTTTTTCTTTATATAGTTCCATTTGGCTTAGTATTGCTGTGGGGCTGAGAGGAATGTTGTGGCGTTGAGATTACTGTATAGAGTTATGTATCTAATAATGTTAACACTTGGTGAGGATCATCCTGAAATGTCTAATGTTGATGTAAGTATTGTTTTATCAATGTTCTCTACTTTCATCATACACATGTACATGTATTGTTTAAAAGTATTGTAAATTTTGTATCATAACTGTTATTATTTATTTTAATTACATTGAGTAGTTTTACATTGGTTTACTACTGAGTAATGCTGGTCATTATGAAGAAAGTCAGGCATATCTGGAAAGTGCTCGTAGATTACAAAACAAGTGAGCTAGTATATACAAATCAAGAGAATTAAGGCTGGCTATGTTTGTTCTTGTATCTGTTCAT